AAAAAATCAAAAATATATTTCACTAAACATGTACAAAAATATCTAAATACATACATGGAAAAAAAATATACGTTTCAAATTTCGAAATTAAAACAAAAATTCAAATAAATTTTTTGAGATTTGTAATTTATAATGGGTAGAGTAGATATATATTGCTGTTAATATTTTTATCAGAAAATCTGAATCTGAATATGCAGAAATCGATTTGAACAAAATCAGATCAAACTTATGTACAATTAGATATTAAATAATAAATAAAACCTTTTTTATTTTAGTAAACATTTTACGTACTTTTTTTTTTTTACTTATGAGATGTTATGAGGTTTTTTTTTTTTGTTAAAACGATTTTATGGTATATAATACAAATACAATTAGAGGATTGACAAAATCAAAACAGATTTCCATACAATTAGATAATAAGAAAGAATTAGATAAGGAAAAGAAGGAATTAGATAAAGAATTTTGAATCTACTTTTTTTTTAGTATAGATAGATTTTACGTACAAATTTTGACTTCACTGATTTAGTGGGATTTGTTTTGACAAAATCGATGTTAATATGGAATAAGACAAATAAATAAAGCATTTTTTTATGGGATATAAGTCAAATAAATAAAATAATTAAATAAAATTCTGGATAGAAATAGCAATGCATTAATTACGTTGACTTTTCAATTTACTAAATTTGGTAAATAGGATACCTTATTATATAAGTATAAATTTATAGATATCGATAATGTAAAATAATATTGATATGAAAATATTATTTAAGGTTTTTATCAGGAAAAGAGTAAAATAACCATTTGTAGTTATAAGAATACAAATGATTAAATAGTAATTTTTAAAATAAATTTGTAGAATGTTTGATTCTAATTAATCATTGTATTAAAAATTCTAAAACATAAAATAAATAAATAATATATATATATATATATATATATATTTTAATTTGTGGAAGGATAAAATACCTTTGAGGTGTAAGAGGTCAAACGGAAAGCAGTGGAGATGCACGGCCATGTCCATGCCGGAATTATATTATTCTACAGATTTTGCCTATATATTAGCAAATTGAGATTATATCAGTTTATTCCTAAAATTCTTGATGTACCAATTTATTCCATAGATCAATATCTAAACAAATTTTGAAAAGTGAATAAAAATCAGATTGTACTACCTCCTTTTTAAAATAAGTGTCGTTTTAACTTTTTTGATTCATCCATTTTACTATGTATCTAGACATATTTATGTCTAGATACATAACAAAATGGATGAATCAAAAAAAGTCAAAACGACACTTATTTTGAAAAGGAGGGAGTATCAATTTATTTCTAAAATTTTGGATGCTCATTAATTTCTTATCCAAAATTGTCCTAAAATTCTAAATTTAGCATGTAATTAATGAGTTTAGAGGGGAAAGAGTTTCTAAAAGTGAATAGAGATGAATGTTTTGAGAAAATATGAATAGTGAATATGAAAAAACGTAGTGTATTTATTAGTTAGATGAGGGTATTAATGGAAAAATATGTACAAAATATCTAAAATGACATTTATTTTGTTAATAGTTGATAATGCCAAAATGACATTTAAAAATAATAGGAGGTAGTAATTCTTATTATATATTAATAGATAACTAAATGAGTC